ATATATTATATAAAGAATAAATAATTTCCTATCAAATATCAGACTATTTCAGGCTGAGAAGAGGGTCTAGACTTTCTGGCCTTTAGCTTTTATAACGTAGCTTAATACTCTTAATAATCTTTCTTCCCTTAGCTTGTGGAAATAAATACTTTAAACTTGATATGGTTTGAAATAAGGAATATGTTTCTAGAATTCAGAAAACTTCATTCTTAAATGCTGTTAGCAAATGAATGAGTATCTTCTTGCAGGTTTTTTCCTAAACTGTATATTGCAAGATTTATTGGTCCCATGAAATATTTTTGGTTTTGTAGTTTTTGCTTTTAATACCTCCCCACCTCTCCCACCCAAGCAGTTAGCATTGTTGCTTTTCAGCAGAGTTCTGGACTAGATGAATGACTTGACCATGAGTATGGGGTAATTTTTTTTTTTTCTTTAAATCTTTACTGTACTTGAATATTCTAACTTCAAATACCCTCCCCAGATAATGGGGTGAGGATTTGGTGATGGGAGAAATAATCACCTTATGGATCAAACTCTCAACAGAGATAAGTTAAGGTAATGTACTTGTGTACCCTTTCTTTTTGACCATTAATATGTGGAGTTTTTTCTTTTCACATTTTTCTCTGATCCTTCCTCGTGCTGCCATGTGTGGAGTATAGCTAACAGGTGAGGGATCACAATCCCCTTCCAGGTCCAGGCTATGCAAACTCTCTTGTCCATCTCTGATGACCTAAGCTGTGAGATTTCTTTCCACACGGTGCAAAATAATTTCTATTGCTGCGTAGTTATTTTCATTTGTGGTCCAGAAGATTTTTTAAAGTTTTCATTTTTTACACTTACAAATTTAAAGTACCCTATGGCTTACCTTAGCACTGGTCTGAAAAGCAGAATGTCATGGTCACAGAGAGATTTCCTGCTCTCTGGCAGCCTTTCTATGCCTCTCTGAACACTGGCATCGGATAGGAGTAAGTTCTGACTTGATAGGCTGAAGTGTATACTTCAGTGATCCAGGCCTTCTTTCTAAACCTTCAGTTTAATGGTGTAAGTCTCATTTTTTGCCAGCTGAGATCTGCAGTTGAACTACTCTTCTTATTTTGATGTGGGTTTGTTACTTTTCTTGAGTAATATTTTTTTATATGTAGTAAGAACACTACCTTAATGACTGTTTTCAAAATATTGGAGTTATGTTGTCATGGTGGAATTATTTTTAGTAGTATTTAGTAGTAGCCCATGTTAACAAAATAGCGGAAAACACTTTTCTATTGCATCTATTTCTTACTGATTCCAGTCTTGCCCTTGCTGTGAAAGTAGGAACATGTCGCTAATCTTTGAATGAAAGCAAATTCTCATTAATTGGCTATTCTGAAACAGCATATTCACAGGATGTTTTCTGCTGAGTTTCTGTCTTAGTTATAGTGATATAACTGAGTGTTGCCATGATGTGTCATCTTTCCTTTAATTGCAAGTCTCATTGTTTTTGTTGTTTTTCAGACAGCATTACTGAAGCGGCAGAGTCGATACATTCGTTCAACAGTTCCTGAAAATGCAGAGAAGGAAGCTCAAAGCTTGTTTGTAACTGAGGTAATATTGGAATTGCATGTGGCTGTGTGTAATAACAGTATTATACCTGTATTGTTTTTCTACTTCATTTACCATTTAAAAAACAGGGAAAGAAAGCCCTGAAAAAATATTAAATATTTTTTGCCATTTACTTGTCAATGATTTCAAGGGAAAATCTAGTATTTTTTCCATTGGTGGCTGGAAAAGAAGGATTACAGGATAGCTTTGAATTATTTTGTTTGTGTAATCGGCTTTTGCAGATGCTTCTCCCTCACCTTCTTTTGGCTGCTTTTGGCTTTCCCAGATAAACATGGGTGATTTCCATGCATAATATCGGGAGCAATAGTAAATTGGGAATGAATCATTGTGCCTTGTTTTTCCTGATAGTGTTTCACACCAGTTGTTCTTAGTTTGTTCATAATAAACTTGTACAGTTTGCTGGAACAGAGGTATTCATAACTGTAACACTTGTAGAGGCCAAAATTCTTTATGACTGCTCAATTTGTGTGTTACATGTAGAAGAAACATCCTCAGACCTGAAGTTTCTTGTAACTGCTTGCTTTTGTTGGCATTCCCTTGGTTCTGACTGTGATGTTGCGTTTCATTTAGTGTCTTGTTGAAGCCTTTTAGGAATGAAAGGTTTAAAATTTTTGTCTTTTTATGGTATCTACTGGTTTTCTACTAATATACTTTAAGCTGCTATTTTAACATCTGAAACAAGTAAATGTCTGTTGTAATTCCAAGAAAACTGAAGGAGCTCCGAATAGCTGAATCTACTTCAAACCTCAAAGTGATTTATCCATAGTGATACATACCCTTAACACCTAACCTAAATGGTTCTAAGATAAATTTGAAGAAGGTAGACAAGGAGGGAGGAGTGTTATAGGTAATTCATGAAGTTTAATGAGTGTCTGCAGAAACAATTTCTTGGCAAGTATTAACTTTGTATTTTGAAATATAAAGAAAATATTTTTTAGTTATTAGATCCTATGTTTGTGTACGTGTAAGTCTATTCATGTAATGTATAAAATTTTGTGCCGTATAGTTTCTGGCAGGAGATTTTGTCAGTTTTATGTTACTTCGGTCAAAGCCAAGATAAATCAGTACTTTTATGTTGTAGCAATATGGGTGGAGTGAAACGGTATTTCCTGTGATCTAGACTAGAGCTTAATGACATAATTGCTTTTCAACAGCTGCAAGCATGCAGTTTAAATTTAAATATTAATTTAATTGTACTAGAAGTATAAATTTAAGGAAAAGATGGTTTTCGTTTCTCTGAATCAGTATATGTGAAATTGAATAATGTATTTTAATAACGTATCTGTATTTTAATGCTGAGTTCTCTAAAGGCTCAGTCGTGTTTTCAGCTGCAGCGAAATGCTGCTTTAGCTTTTCAGACAACTGAAGATGGTTAATCCAGATGCTGCGTGTATTCACCATTTTCTGGTTTTATAAAATACACGTCTAGCAGATGATAGTGTCCTATTGAAACATACCACTTGTTGCAAAAAGCTATAATGCACTAGACTGTATTGCAAAAGAAGGGAAGCATACAGAATTTTCAGAGATCGACATGTAACCGTAGTAGTTCATAAACAGCCATATCTTAAGAGGTTTTTTCATGTATGTGTGTCCAGGGAATGCTGTTAATCCTCTTCCAACACTGATATTTGGTTTTCATTAAAACAGTGCATCAAAACCTACAATTCAGACTGGCATGTTGTTAACTATAGATATGAAGATTACTCAGGAGAGTTTCGACAGCTTCCAAAGTGAGTATGTTATCTAGTGGTATAATAAAGATTTTTAATTTGAATGGAAGAAACTTTAACTGTATTTAATATAAATGTGTTTATTACAGAAATGTATTAATACATGCAATATGTAACATGAAATATGCTATATCAATGTTTAGTAGTCAGTAGAGATGATAAAATTTGTTGGATGGAATTTATGTTGATGAACTTGAAGGTGTAAAATCTTGTTAAACCATTTTCTGGAAAGATACCGTAATAACACTGCCTTATTGATAGGCAGGTCAAAACACAAAATTGTGTCATTGTATCATTGACAAGGTGAACGTAAGTATGATAACTAAAACAGTCTAATGTTTTTGTAGCTTCAAAGGCAGCTTTTGGTACTCTCTTCAGGAGCTTAGGGAATAGAACCTAACCGAGATGTTTGGAGCAAGTGTTTGATTTTCACAGGATGATTCAAAGAAAAGCCTAATCTACATCTCTTACAGACTTTCTAAACCATCTGCTAGAGAAATCTCTTCCAACTTTTTCAAAGTTTTGCAGGGAAAGTATAGAGATTAGACCCTTAACTTAAAATATCAGAATGGCTGAATTCTCTGAATCCCACAACTCTGGAAGATCTATGTCTTCCCTACCTACTCTCCTGCATCTATCAGTTAAGAAATAGCTTTCCTTCCCTGTGAAAAGTTCTGATACACTCATAGGTTTTGTAAAAGTCTGTACCTGGTTTTTACTTGCCCTGAACAGAAACCACAATAGTCAATAGGAATTTAAATAAATACGTTGTCCTAAAAGGAGCCAATGGTTGCAGGTATGAATTCTTTGCCCTAAGATATTAGGAGTGCAGTGAATGAGAAGGCATTTGGTTCTCTTCAGTTACATAAGGACAGTGACAAGCAGAACAAAAGAAAGACTCTGGGCAGATGCGCAAATTAGGAAAATTGCAGGCTAAGAAATATATTTCATGAAAAATCATGCTTTTACTCAGTTATTCTTGTGCTTTTTCCTCTTCAGTTAGGAAAATAACATCTTTATTTTTGCAGCTATAAAATATCTAGTTAATCACAAAATTTCTAGTATTTTAGAAGCTTTTTCTTTCCTAGTAAAGGGACAAAATCGGAGAAGCTTCCGGTTCATTTATATGAAGTGGATGAAGAAGCAGATAAAGATGAGGTGAGATAATAGTAATTCCTTACTTTCTCTTGCTTTCAGTAAAGGACGTTGGTTAAAGAGAGATTCCAAGTTGGGTTGAGTGTTGATGTCAGTAAATGAAAACAGAGATTAGCTTGAACAGCCTGATAGGTAAAATAACTACATTAGTTTCCCAATCTCCTTTCAAATAGCCTTGTACTCCTGAGGTGTGTCATGTGAGTAGAACAAGTTTTGACAGATGGTGAAATCGAAGTTTTAATACTTGGTAATGTATAATCCTTCAGCTTCCATAAAATCTGTCTTGTCTTATACTGTTTCTGTGTAGGTATATAGAGGGAAGTGTTTCAGGCAGTTTAATAACGAAGTTGAGTAACATCATGGGTGAATCTGTTCCAACATGACAGTACACACACTTGCATGACAGTATAGCATACAGTGTGAGTTAAAATTAGTTTGTCACAAATTTGAGTATAGGATAAGACCTGGAGATCCATCATGGAAACAAAAGCTAAAAAAATTGACTAAAACTCTAAGGACTTTTCTTTTTGTCATTGACTTAGGGAAACCAGAGATCTATAGCCTCAAGCAATTTTCAAGTATGTTTCAAATGTCAAAGACTTTTTTTCAGTAGCTACTTCTGTTACTTGTGTGATTTATTTAATTCTTACCACACCCTGTTTCAAAACAGAGTGTTTAAATGCCAGTGTTTTCTTTTCTTACGAGTACTTGAACTCTTGCATCACAGAAAAGAATTAAAATAAAATAAAATTTTTTTTTGTGGTTTTTACCCTTTGACAATTACTTTGCTTCTAAGTTCCTTATATTCAGAACTGCTGCATGTGAAATACAAGTATTTCCTTACAAGTTTTCCTGGATTAAATGTGAAAAATAGTTCAGGGAGTGCATCTGAATAGGTAGATTCCTGAACAGATAGTCTCAGGATGCCATTTCTTCACTGCTGCTGTTAATCTGCACTGTGATATTTGGACAAATAATTTCACGCATCTCTATCCAAATCTTACTATTTGTAAGATGGGAATAATTATGTTTTCTATTATACTGAAATTAAAAAGACTTGGCATTATTTACTGTGATAATATTTCTGACAACAGAAATGATTTAGAGAACAGTGGGTTAAACATGAAAAAATTAAATGGAGATAGAATTGACTCTGATTGTTACTAGGAAAAATACTTATTGCTAGAGTTAGTTAAACGCTGAAACACTATAGCTTGGTTATTGTCAGGTGCTATGTCTTTTACTAGGAAGTGTAAGTGGAGAGGACTTTCTGTTTTCTTCTGCCCAGTTTCCTGTTACAGCAGGCAGGAACGTCCTATCTCTTTCAGAGGTACAGTCACTGGAGAAGAGGTCTGCTGCGCTTTGAGGAACTTAAAATATAAACACAAGAAAAAAGCATGCTAGGAAGAAAAGGGAGCTTAATGGGAATAGGATGGGGGGACCCATAAATTCTTTCCTCAAGGGAAGAATTAATGCAAGAGGTTTTTCTTTCAAACATTAACATCTTTGTATGCCAAAAAGCATATATGCGAATCTTGGATTAAAAGTTGTTTGGTCATCTTTTTGTTTCGCTTTTGTTTGAGAATGAGAAAGCTCATTTATTAAGAGAGTGATAGCAAACAAAAAGCTGCAAGTGATTAAAAATTGGAGGAAAAACAAGATAAAGGTTAGTTTAATCTTGCATCGTTAAAAAAGAGAGAATTACCTTTCCAAAACCAATTCGGGCTATCAGGCCATCAGGTGGATGTTTGTAAATGGAATTTTTAAATCAGCCTGGGGTATGGGATCAAGATAAGGAATTGTTTTTGTTGAAACAGTTGCTGTTGAAGTAAATTTTGGAGCTGAGTTTGTGGGAAAGATCATCATTAAAAAAATGAAGCACTGTGTGCAGCAGTAATAATAAGAGTGAGGAAATTAACTTACCAGTTGGAAACAGGAAGTATGTTTTCAGTGTAAAAGTTGTGTGTTAACAACTGGGTTCTGGGTTCCTTTGTATTAACAGATGGCCGGCTGGAAAGATTCAGTAGCTTTTTGGCTCTATAGGCAGGAATTCTGCCTGACAGAAAGAAATGGTGTAACTAGAGAGGCCCAAGTGACAGTCAGTTTTATTGTTAGAAAACAGCATGCAGCTGAACTGAGTTGGGAAACAGTGCACCTCAGAGACTTGGAATTGGAAAAAGAGTCTTAATAGAGCTAAATCTTAATTTTTGTTAACACAGGTAATGAAGGAATTCTTGTCATGTCAGGTGATCCTATGTATGGTTTGTGAAATTGCAGAAAAACATTGGTTGTTTTGTGCCAAGTTTTGACGATAACTCATCATCTACTCATCTTACACTTGTAAAGGTGGTTTTAAACCATTCTTTCCTTGGGGATAACTCCCACCAGCGGAAGTGGAGAATCATAGTTGGAAACCTAGTGTTTGAAATTGTTGTCTCTGTATCTTGATTGTTGTACAAGAAAAATGATTATCTAGGTAATAGAACAGGGGTGGGGGCTAATGACTTGAAAATATGAAACAAGTAGACTGTCTTGCTTGGACAGTGAGACTCACTGGGGCATATATAAATTTACTGAGTATTTCTGGTCTATGCTTCTGGGGCATTATATCAGATGCTCTGATAGTTGGTGACGATGTCATCCTTATGGGGCCAAACTTCCATAGTATCAAGTTGACTAGAATTTTTGAAGGAACAGACTGATGCATCTTTTGCCTTCTGTTTGCAGTTTTTTGAAGTTCACATTTGCATGTGCATATGAATATGCAAGCTAGACAGACTAAATAAGCTGTAAATAAATTAACTAGTAACTTTTTACAGAATGTTCCTTGATTTAGTTCCAGAAACTAATTCATATTATTCCAAAATTTTGGTTTCAATGTTCAGTTGTTGAACTAATGACTCTGTCCCCCATATGTAATCACTTTTTGTTGTATGTTCTCTTAATAGCTGAGAAAAGGAATTAGAAAAAGTAGTTGAAGCACTTGAGGAAGATCTGTGCTTTTGTTTTCAACTGGATAGTCAGCTGATTTTGAATGTTTGGATAATAAATTATCAGGAGTATTTCTTCTCTAGATGGTTGAAAATCTTCCTACATATCTAACTCATTAATATTTTTGTTGTGTCAAAATGGGTTATGTCAACTGGAAACCATGGTAAAGTCAGCTTGGTACTGCTCTAAAAGATTACTTGAACTGGTGATTTAATATTTATTTTATGGCAATTCTAAATCAGTCATTTTGATCAGATTTCATAGTAGAGTATACTGCTTTTTGGTAATTGTTTACATCCGATGGGTTTTGATATAGTTATTAAGTTCCATCAACTGGCAGATGGAAGTGGTATACAGGCACTGGGTGTGATGTGTGATGTGTGCATTGGATCTGCTGTTTGTGAACTTGCCATTACTGCCAAGTTTGGTCTTGTTCTCTTTAGAAAGCTTTGATTCTGATCTGTAAAAGGTCAAATCCAATTCAAGAATTCAAGACTTAGTTCTCTGTAAATTCTTAACTAAGTAATGTCTTTGAAGTAATACATATAAAGCAAAATGGTTTGAGAAATCTCGATTGAAGTTTTGGATAAGCATGTGTTTACATTGTTCTTTTTGGTAATAGAAATTGGTAAAAATTCTTGCACTGGAAGATTAGACTATATGAAAAAGCTTACAAAGTAAATGTAAGTAAACATTTTGAGTATTCTCTCCTTCCCCTATTTCAGTGGGATTTATCTTGACTAATGTTTAGCTACTTAGAAGTTGGATCACCCTGCTGGCCATAGAGAAAGCCTATATAAGTGGCCAGGTTGCCTACCAAAAGTTAGATGAGGTCAATCTCATCCCTGGTCTTTAAATAAAACAATTGGAATTAGAAGGCTATAGAATTTCAGCAGGGACTCATAGTACATTGTTATCATTACATTATGAGTATAGCTATTCCATCTTTTAAAAATGATTTCTGAAATTTTCAATAAATACAACAGTTTCAGACTGTGATGTAAAACTTTACTTTTTTTTTTTTTCTTCCCCCTCCCATTTCACTTTCTTCATCTCCAGGATGCAGCATCTCTTGGGTCTCAGAAGGGTGGAATAACAAAACAAGGATGGCTGTACAAAGGCAACATGAATAGTGCAATCAGTGTGACAATGAGAGTAAGTTTAAGAATGTCTTACGCGTGATAAAAACTGAACACCAATAGTAAATATCACCGTGCCTTTGAGAAATCAATTTGTATGTGGTTTACTTCTAAAAAAAATAGTGTGGGATGAAAGAGGGAAGCTTGTATGTAATTTATATCCGTGAAATCTTACTTTCCTTTTATTGTACTTAAATCAGAAAAAATGCATTAAAAATCCAGTATGTGGGAGAAGTCCAGTGTTTTAAATAATTTTCTTAACTGGACCCTGGTGTGTTATTAGTAGAAAAGGGACTATGTAATATGAGTTTTTATTTGTATTGCCTGTTTATTTAGAAACAAACTTAAGTTGTTTTTACGGTTATCACAATAAATATCTATTATGTATAATATTGTAGAGTCAGTTTTAAATATCTTTCCGTGGGTCAAAAATACTTTCAAATAAAATAGTACAATCTTGCTGCAGGTTTTTAAGTTGGTTTTTTTCTTTTCTTTCTTAATTAATGGTTTCTGTTCTATTTTCTGAGGATACTGATAAGGTTATGTGTAAATAAAAGCTTTTTTCTATAACCTACTGTGTAAATAGCACTTACAGGTTTTGTAATATGAAGCTGATTAATACTAGTGTTGTAATCGTTTTTCTTTCCTCCTTTCTGTTCACTAGTCATTTAAAAGAAGATTTTTCCACTTAATCCAACTTGGTGATGGATCCTATAATCTCAATTTCTACAAAGATGAAAAAATATCAAAAGAACCTAAAGGATCAATATTTCTAGATTCATGCATGGGAGTGGTTCAGGTAATTATAATTATTCTGCCTGTTCTCCAGTTAATTCTGTATTCGATAGCAAAAGGGTTTTTTTGAAATACAGACAACTTTTGTCAGATGTAGATAAGTACCTATTATGCAGAGGAACGATTAGACATGCTGTGTCTTGCAAAAACAGTGAACGAGATTTTAAAGGCCAAGATGCTGAATTTTAAAAATTACTAGTTGATGTCAAGTATTTGTCAAAAATATCAAATGAAATTTTAAGGCAAACACACAAAAACTCCAACCTTAAATCATGGCAAAGTAATGACAGCGTAAAATTAAAGTTCATTTGAGTTACATTTTGTGCTTACATGAGCTGTAAAATGTTTTGCATAGCTTCTTGTGTGGGATTTTTGTTTTGGGAATTTTATTAAATTCAGTCACCCTTCCAGATGCTTTCATTTGACCTTTATAATGTTACTTTTATGTGCTTTTCTTTATTTTAAAAAGTTAAGGGCTTTGGTAAAATGTTTGTCAGTAGCAAGTGCCAAAGAAAAGATTTTTTTTTTTTTTTTTTTTCCCCCTTGTGATTCTGTTATGTGTTTACAGTACAGCATGTAACTATTTTGTTAGGCACAAAGATTTATATAGAGAGATACAACAGCTTTACAGAGGATTATTTTTTTCCAAATATTGTAATAATGGTTTTGGATACACATTTAATAGATACTTTGCATGGAAAGTCTTGTAACTAATAAATTTAGGCAGGAATTCCCAAAATACTGTTTGGGTTTTTTGTTTGTTTGTTTTGTTTTGTTGGGTTTTGGGTTTTTTTGTTTTAATACTGAAGTATATTCAGACTTTTTTGCATCACAGAGAAGTCCAGTTACATAATACATGCAGTGTATATATTCACACATACAGTCATAATATAGGCACAGTTGCTCTAATTCAGTGATTTCTGAAAACTGAGAAGTGATATGTACCACCTGTGTCAAGGTTTTATACTGTGAAAGTTAAATGTTACTGTTCTTGAGATTTTTTTTTCATTTACTTCAGTACTGATTTTAATTGGCAAGACTGCCTTAGATCTGGAGTTCATACATGTGTTTGTATCCTCCTTAACAGAAACTCATCTTTGGTAGAAAGCTGGCTGTTTTGCCAACCAGTAGTTAGTCTGTTAATTAAAAAACCTGAGGTATAGCGAAACGAAAATGTCATTTGGCACTTAATTTAAGTTAAAGCAAACAAAGAAAAAATCCCCCAACCATTAAGTCTGTCTTATTGTTTATTTTAATGTTTAGCTAATGCATTATCAATTTCTTAAATTAATGATAATACAGAATTTTCATTTAAGACTTGTGAATTCATTCCCAGGAACATGAGTCAAGCTAGGCAGCATTTGAAGCCTTGATTTAAATTGTACAAAAAAGATGACAATAATGGTTTAGGAACAGAGGAGGAATTGATTCCCAACTTCATGTATATTTAGAAGATTAGCAATATCAGGGCATTCGAGGTTAAGGTTGGTTATGATTTAACCTCCAGTATAAAATCCCACCATGGTAAATGATTCTCACTCAATCATTAATAGAGTTTTATGCTTTTTTTTGTCAGTAGATCTTAAATTCACTTCTGGGTGATCTGAGTACATGAAAACTTGATATTTGAAAATTGGATTTTTTGTTTTTTAAAAATTATTTCAAGCATAATGATGAAGGGAAACTGAAAAATGGGCTGTTATCTTTCATACTTCCACTTGTTGCAGTGGTACAAATAACTTCAAAAGGTCAAATGTCAGAGAAGAAAAGGTGTAATTATAATACATTTGTTTAAAATATCGAAGTGTATATTTTTGTTAAAAGATCTGAAATACATATGACTTCCTTTGATTGTGAGTAGACAGTATGTAAAGATCTTTTATTTTCTTACAGAACAATAAAGTCAGACGTTTTGCATTTGAGCTCAAGATGCAAGACAAGAGTAGTTACCTTTTAGCTGCAGATAGTGAACTTGAAATGGAAGAATGGATAAACACTCTGAACAAAATCCTTCAGCTTAACTTTGAGGCTGCAATGCAGGAAAAAAGAAATGGAGAGTCTCATGAAGGTAAGCAGGGTTTCTAGCAATGCTAATACAGTTATGTGACAACGTCTATGTATAGGCCTTTTCACTGTCTGTTTGAACTAATGAGAGTTTTGACCTTTTAGCATTAAAATAGCACTGTTCTGTATTGATTCCAATTGAGTTAAGTCCAGAAGAGAATAATGAGACTGATCGGAAGTCTAGAAAAATAGAACCCACAATGAAAAATCAGGACTGAGGCAGTTCAAGGAAAAGAGAAAACTTAGGAGGGACTTGTTTTGAAATGTGTAAAATGCTGCTGAAAATGGAATAATCTATTCTGTAGTCACTGTAGGTAGAAGAATAAGAAATTGTGGTTGCAGTGAGGGACTTAAATTTAGATGTAATTCCCTTGACGACAAAAATTTCCCTAAAGTACTGAAATAGATTGCTTGTGTGTAGAACCTTTTCTGTTGGAGCTCATTAAGAATAGGTAAGGCAGATATCTGTAAGGAATGTGATGTAGGTGTAGTTGATAATTTGGTGACAAAAGGATAGTCTAGACATCCTCTTGTGCGTTTTTCCTCTTGACAGTAGGTGGGGAGGGCAACTGGTATGAGACCAAGTGTATGCATATCCAGAAGAACCTGGAAGAGGTTATAGAAGGTTGTTCGGCTTATAAATAGCACAATATATCAAAAGGGATCATTAGAGTTGAAAATGAGATCTCACAGTCTTTGGTGAAGATTGCCAAAGTTTAACATGATGTTTGCAATAAAAGCAAATCGAAAAAAGAGAAGCCTGAACGTTGTAGTTCTGTGAAAGACATTTTAGCCGGTGATCCCCAACTGACCTTAGAACTGTAAGATGCTTATAGCTAACTGAATTGTTGCTTTGTAAATCCAGTAATCATTGGAGAGTAGAGCTGGGAACCTAATGAACAGAGGGAACTTGTTTTGAAATCAAGTTACAATGCACAGTGGAAAGAGTAATGTAAATTTGTGCATTGAGTGCCCCTTTCCCCATGCAGGTATCAACATTAAAGCTATTTTCTAGGTAAGGTTAGAAATAACTGCTACTTTACCAATTTATGTAACTGGTTACATCCTTCAAGAAGTCACTGCATCAAAATGAAATGATGGAGTCATCCACAACCTTTTTATGTTGATTGTCATTTTTGAAGGAGTAGGAGTTAAAAAAAAAAATCAGAAATATTTTTGCTATGGAGTTTCGTGAGTAGTTTGAGTTTTTTGTTTGTTTGGGTTTTTAAAATTATTTTTAAAATGTGGTTTTATAATTTCAGATGATGAACAAAGCAAAATGGAAAGCTCATCAAGTAGTTTTGATAACTACTATCCTGAAATTGCCAAGGTAATATATATTGTAAATGCCAACTTGGGATATAAAGTACCAAACATAAGTTAGCTATGTGAACTTTCAGTAAAGGTAAGGTATTGGCTTCTAGCTTCCGGTCAGTTTGTGGTGCTTTGAAAGCTTACAAGTTCTTTCATAAATAGATGTGGTTATTGAGGTTCTTCATTTTCTGCTTTTGGAAGCAAACTAGCTGCTGTCTTAAAGTTGCATATAAAAATCTTGACATGCTATTTAAAAGCAGCAAGTTTTATTATTTGTTTTGTTATTGTATTCGTTTATTGTATTTTGCATATTTTGTATTGTTTTATTGCATGCAGGTAAGTGCTAAAGTATTTCTATAGAAATCTAGTTATCATAGAGCCATAGAATAGTTTGGGTTGGAAGGGACCTTTAAAGGTCATCTAGTCCAACCCCTCTGCCATGGGCAGGGACATTTTCAACTAGATCAGGTTGCTCAGAGCCCCGTCCACCCCGACCTTGAATGTTTCCAGGGATGGGGCATCTACCACCTTTCTGGGCAACCTGTTCCAGTGTTTCACCACCCTCGTAAAAAATTTCTTCCTTATATCTAGTCCCAATCTACCCTCTTTTTGTTTAAAACCATTACTCCTTGTCCTGTCACAACAGGCCCTGCTAAAAAGTTTGTCCCCATCTTTCGTATAAGCCCCCTTTAAGTACTGAAAGTATTAAAGTCAAGTTTTATTTTTATAGTTAGAAGTCCAGAGGAGCTTAATAGCAGTGATGATGTGAATGTATTTTAAGATCCTTGTGTTTGTAACGAGCTGGCAAGTTCATGGATACTTCCTGTATTGCCATAGTTCTTGCTTTTCAATTTTGTTCTTACAGAGGTGTGTAGAAATAGAAATAAGAATAAAATAAAATGGAAATAAATAGAAAATAACAGTAACTCTTCCTCAACCCATTTGCAGACTTTATTTCAGTTAAATCCGTGACTTGTGTGTTGCAGTAAATTTTGAGTTCTCTAAGGGAGAAATTTTTTTTAAAATCACCTAAGGACTGGAGCTGGTGACCTTTTTCTATTGAAGTTGTAGAATCCAAACTCCTTCGTGTGACTTCCTTACTCTTTCTTCTGTGTGGCACAGCCTGCAGTCTTGAAACTTTTCTGCTTGACCATGCTCTGGAATGCTCTCCCTTTCTTTTCTGAGGATCTGTCTGACCTAGTAACTACTCCTGAAGGGAGTGCAGCTTATAAACTGAGAACAAGCAGTAAAACAAATTGCATCTATTACAATAGCTAACATATCAAAAGATCCAGTCAGAGTACATTAACAGGCTTTTAGCACCCAAATTGGTTGGCTGACTTAATTCTTTCTGTTACTGCTTTGTAATCAACTTAGCACATGTATACAAAAAGCTATTATGTGATAATATAGGACAACCTGGTGATCAGGCCCAGTCACCACAGGCTTGACCAACCTGATCTCCTTCTATG